TGAAGATTGTAAGGAAGATTGTTTAGTATTAAATGGTCAAAGATAATTTCCCAAACTTACTTTTCCCTTCGTAAATTTTTGCTGCTCCTCCGAGCCAAGGGGGTGCAAGCACCCCCCCCCCCAACCTAATGAGTGGCTCTGCCACTGCCTGCACCATATTTTCTAGCACGCTAGACACTGACCATCGACTTTTAAAGGTGGAGAGTAAATAATATATTTGGACTACTATTATCGACTACTATGTTTGGTAATGTTGATTAGATATGGAGATGCAAGATTATAAACTATTAATTGTACCAAAGCCATAAAAATGCGTCAGTTTTCTCTATGCAATTGTTTGATGGAGTAATGAAAAATTTGATGCAAATACTACACGGATCCAGCGGAGACAAAGTGAGAAGTGTCTGAATTAGTACAGTCTTACATATTGGTGATAAACTTATTTTAAATGTTAGTGCACTTTCTTAATGGTTAGTTCAAAATTTGCTTTTGTCGGTTAGCCCACAACCCAACCGTACCCATCTGCCATCTACCTAGCCCACACTGAAGAAAAATGTGAGTGGATAGCGGATTACAATGCAATTATCCCAGCTAGCTAATTGCTAGTAGACGGTTGGATCGATTTGAGACCAATTAGAGAACTAACAGAGGAATATAATTTTAAAAATCTTATTTAATTGATTGCGAAGTTTCCTTCCTAACGATGACAACTATTTAATCTGTGTACATTTTCTTTCCATGCATGCAAAGAAAGCCCTGATTAAGTTATCATCATATACCAAATCTACAAAAGCGAATTACAAATAGAAGCTAAATAATATAAATTGGAAAAAAATACAACTGTAAGCACGTCGATATTCCTTAAGAAATAGCTTTATTTCCTTTGTACTTGCTAATTAAGGAATTCATTGTAGGCAAATAGTCGACATTCTGGCTTTCTAATCACAGCCATTGTCTCGCTCCTCTGGCGAATATGGCGATCCCGGAATTGGGTGGTGTTCGAGGGCAAGCAGTTTGGGTCTCTGGCTCTAATGCGGCAGTATGAGCAGCAGCTTTGGGAGTGGACTTCTCTGCCTCACAATGTTTCTCCCGTGATCCCTGGGCCTGCCTCTCCTCCCCCTGCTCAGGAGGTGGGGGAAGGGGTAGTTTGTCTTTGGGATGGGGCTACTAAAAGTGGTTCCCACTCGGCGGGGGGGATGGTTATCTTGACCCCTGCGAAGGAAGTACTTTTGGCTAAGGGGGTCCAGTTTGATGGCTTAGATGATCCGCTGATGGCAGAGTTGCTTACGCTTCGGGAGGCGGTGTCTTGGGTCAGAACCCTTGGTTTTGAGGAAATGAGATTTGAAGGCGATGCTAAAGTGGTGATTGAGAAGATTTTGCGGCGTGATACTCGGGACAACCTAGTTGGTGCTATTCTTGAAGAAGTTATTCAGATGCTTGGTTGGAGTCCGGGGTTCAGTTTGCGGTTTGTAGGTCGGCATAACAATAGGGTAGCTCATGTCGTAGCTAGGAAAGCCCTGTCCTTGTTTCCGATTACATGTCGCTCTTTTGATTTCCAGACCTGGCTGGACTCCAGGGTGTAGCTATCTTTGTTTCAATCTTAATATATGATTATCTTTTGTCAAAAAAAAAAAAAAAATCACAGCGACACGATTCAGGATAACAACGCGAACAGAAATAGGTTTGGAGTTTTTATCTAATTATTTTCTTCTATTATTATGGTACTTGGATTTTGACAAATATGGTGTCCAAATCTTTGTTAAAATTTCATACCCATATTATTATTAGTTAACTTTAAGTTTTCAAGGCTCTGCTGGCATAAAAACTGCCCTACACTACATTACTGGGAAAAAATCCCAAAGTACACTAGTTTTTAAAAAAAATTCCCAAAATACATAAGTTATAAAAAAAATTCCAAAATTACACATGTTTGAGCATCACCGTTTTAGACAAAAACGGTGAAGGTCATCACCGCTTTTGACCAAGACGGTGAATACTTCACCGTTTCAAACTAAAACGGTGAAGGGTTCACCGCGTTTGTTAAGAACGGTGAATACTTCACCGTTTTAAACAAAAATGGTGAAGCCTTCATTTGAATTCCAAGTATTTTGATAACTCTAAATGGTTCTCCTCGTCGATACGATCGCGCTGCCGAAAACGGCTCGTCATTTCGACCTCAAACGAATAAGATACGCGCGTTTTAGTTTTTAGTACGCAAAAGTTACTTTAACGACATGTGCAGCTTTGAACTCACTTATCTCACTCGTTTGGACTCGGAATTGAGATCTGTAAAATTCTATGTGATCGTGGTTGATTTTCCCAACCTTTTTGTGTTGAGGGAAGATAATGATTCTTGATAAAATGATCCAGAATATTCATTCGACAACTTAAGTGCGTAGGATAGTTTTTAGACAATGCAAACTCAAATAACAACACCTAAAAATCACAAAAACAACATTGATAGTTCACTACAATGATAAAACGATAAATTCACTCATTTGCTTCATTTTGGCCCCCATCTCCACCTCTTCCTCCTCGTCCTCCACGAGTTTGTTGTTGCGGATGTTGGAATTGAGAGAACCATATGTTGCGGAGTTGGAATTGAGAGAACCATATGTAACAACATCATGGGTTCTCTCAATTCCAACATCCGCAACAACAAACTCCGAACCCCCCGATCATTCGTCAAGCTACCGGTCCAACTCAGCCACCACCACCACCATATGTAACCCCAGTTGGGGCTCGGGTCAAGAGAAATCCGCGACCAGCCGTTGAGCGAGCCCGCCAAGAAGCAGTGGCGGAGGGGGGAAGAAGGGGTCGAGGACGTCGTGGAGGACGAGGAGGAAGAGGTGGAGATAGGGGCCAAAATGAAGCAAATGAGTGAATTTATCATTTTATCATTGTAGTGAACTATCAATGTTGTTTTTGTGATTTTTAGGTGTTGTTATTTGAGTTTGCATTGTCTAAAAACTATCCTACGCACTTAAGTTGTCGAATGAATATTCTGGATCATTTTATCAAGAATCATTATCTTCCCTCAACACAAAAAGGTTGGGAAAATCAACCACGATCACATAGAATTTTACAGATCTCAATTCCGAGTCCAAACGAGTGAGATAAGTGAGTTCAAAGCTGCACATGTCGTTAAAGTAACTTTTGCGTACTAAAAACTAAAACGCGCGTATCTTATTCGTTTGAGGTCGAAATGACGAGCCGTTTTCGGCAGCGCGATCGTATCAACGAGGAGAACCATTTAGAGTTATCAAAATACTTGGAATTCAAATGAAGGCTTCACCGTTTTTGTTTAAAACGGTGAAGTATTCACCGTTCTTAACAAACGCGGTGAACCCTTCACCGTTTTAGTTTGAAACGGTGAAGTATTCACCGTCTTGGTCAAAAGCGGTGATGACCTTCACCGTTTTTGTCTAAAACGGTGATGCTCAAACATGTGTACTTTTGGAATTTTTTTTATAACTTATGTATTTTGGGAAATTTTTTTAAAAACTAGTGTACTTTGTGATTTTTTCCACATTACTGCCGAAAGTAGACAACTACGACATTCAAGCCCTGATTAAGATTTCATGTAACACGGATTGAAGTACTTTGGGCAAATATAATCTAGATGCTGTACAAATTGAAACGAGTTGTTTGTATCATCTAATTGAAGCAATGTGACAAGTCATTTCTACGATAATTCATTTTCATATATATATATATATATGGTGGCTACTTCGGCGCACTCACTTTTTTGGGTGCACTCAGTGCACCCACTTTAAAAGTGTCCATATTACATCAAATTTTGAACTTTAATTAGTACTCTCAATCTAATATGATGATATGACATAGAATCATAACAAACCAATCAATTACCCTAACCCCTTAACCTTCAATTTTGAATCCCAATCCAAAATCTCAAATTGTAAACCTAATCCCTAACCCTAAATCCCTAAATCCTAAATCCTTCAAATTAAAGTAAATTTTGAATGAATTTTTTTTCAAATTCATGTGCTTCTTGTTCATAATATCATAAGCAACAATTGATACCGTTTTGATATGAATCACATGCTCAGAATGACAATTATGAGGCGGGTGTACTGAGTGCACCCAAAAAAGTGGGTGCACTGAATACGCCACCATATATATATATATATATATATCGACAATTTAGATGGAAAAATCTTACTGAAATGGTTGAAGTGATTGCCAAATTAGTTATTTCCGACTTTGGCGATAAGCTTGTAAGATATTCAAATTTCAATGACGAATTTGCTAGTGATCTAATATCAACCATTGTCCCATTTTTTCTTCTTTTCTAATAACTTAATCCTATTTCCCATCCCATGCACGACCAATAATTATGAACCCTAAAAAAGAAAGGAAAAAAATCGAGATCCATGAACGAAGCCATCGGGTTAAGTAAAAGATGTGGCAGACCGAAGAAATCATATTTATGTTGCCAAGGAAACGTAGAAGAAGCACCAGAAGAAGAAGAGCCTCAATTAAAATAGCCTATTCTCCAGGCTTCCCAAAATGACCCAACTGACACAAATCTTTGACCCTGCTACCATGACATTTTCACAAAATCATCCTTATAATATAACATCTATCAATCTGACTCCCTTATGTAAGAAAGTTCCTACAAGCCAGGGTACAACTAAAAAATCTACCCTTGATTAGTAAATCCATGTTCTGTACATCATTTCGAGGTTATTTTTTCTGTTTAAAATTCATATAGTACTACAATGACAAAAGCAACAGAGCACAAGGACTGAAAATGTAATTATTCCAGAATAGTAATTTCCCTTGGGAAGAAACCAAAATAAGCAAACAAACAGGGTCCTCGGATATCTGGTCTGACCGGTGGGAAATGGGAATGGATAGTTTAGTCACAAAAAATATGCATGTTTACGTCACTTTGCTTTACCGCGTCTCCCTCTCCTTTCTTCTTCTTCTTCTTCTTCTTCTTCCCCTGTTTGTTTTGCTTCGAATCCAACAACAATAATAACTCCTAAACTCTAGAATCCTTGAAGAAAACAAACCAAGCCCAGATTTTTCATATATTTTTATTTTATTTTCTCCAATTTTTGCAGGTGAGATCTGCAGAGAAAGTAAGTAAGTACAGCTCTCTCTCTCCAAAAAAAGCTAATCGTGCCATTTTATTTACTTTACTTTCTTGAAAACCAAATCCATAAATTTCTCTCTTCTTGACTCTTCCCATACACAAACACATATATAAATACGAAATTTGTTTCCCCTCCATCACTTCTCCCACCTCCCCTCTCTTACTCTGTCTCCGATCATCAACAACTCTGATATTTCCCCCCCAAAGGCTTCTGATTTTCGGTTCAAGACTGGATTTTGAGGCCGACCCTGTTGAGATTTCCGTCGGTTTCCTTGTTTTGAGGTGGGAAAAAAGCGGAATCCGCTCCAACGGCTTCAAACGGGCGGTGAAAAAAAAAGGAAGAGAAAAAGGGTTCGTCTTGATTTTGGGGTGCTCTGTTTTTCTTCTCTCTGTTTTGCTGCAATGGCGATACAAGCGCAGTTCTACGGCTCCCAGGAATGGCCGGCGGTGGAGAACGGATTCATTGCCGCCGGTGGAGGTTTCGTTAACAACAATTCTTGTTTCTTGATCAACAATCTCGAGCAGAAGCAACATCAATTCTACAACAGCAACCTCCAGCAACAGCAGCAACAGAGCAATGGAGGAAATCTTATTAACAATAACAACAATGCCTTCTTCGTTTCCAAGATTGAGGAAGAAAAGCCTGCTCCTTCCTCCTCAGCCGGATTCCCGATTATCCCATCCACGACGAACGACAGTAGGGTGAATCCGGGTCTTAATTCCATGGCTGCTTATGAGCAGAAGCAGAACCAAGAAATCGACCAATACATCAGAGCACAGGTAAATCCAAAACCCCCAATTTTCTTCTTCCCCCCCCCCCCCCCCCCCCCGGGATTCCAATTTGCCTGATTTTAATTCTTCTTTCAAATCCAGAACGAGAGGCTGAGACAGATGCTGCAAGAACAGAGAAACCAGCAGCTATCCCTGCTCCTGAAAACAATCGAGTCCAGAGCCGCGGCGCTCCTGCGGCAAAAGGACGAGGAAATCGCGCGCGCGGCGAAACGGACTACCGAGCTCGAAACGTTTCTTCGGAGGCTTGAGATGGAGAACCAGGCGTGGCAGAGGGCGGCGAAGGAGAAGGAGGCGATCGCGGTTTCGCTCGGCCACACTCTGGCGCAAGTGAGGGAGAATCCGTCGCTAATGATGACGAACAACAACATCAACGCCGACGACGCTGAATCGAGCTGTTGCGAAAAAGAAGGGGGAAAGGCGACGGCGACGGCGACGAGGAAGAGCGGCGGAAACGGCGTCGTGTTGTGCAAAAGCTGTGAGACTCGGGGAGCGTGCGTTTTGTTCCTCCCGTGCAGGCACCTTTGCTCGTGCAGCGGATGTGACGCGTTTCTTGATCGGTGCCCGCTCTGCCAAGCGCCGAAGAAGGCTACGATTGAGGCTTTGATGGGTTGATTTTCTCTAGGGAGGAAAAGTTACAGTGGGGTTTTTTGTTTTTGTTTACCGCGGTGAAAAAAAGGGAGATGAGTAGATGACCCAATTCAATGGATTTCTTTTGTCAGTTTGGTAAATATTTTTGCCAGTTTAGGAGGGGATTTTTTTACCCCATTTGGTTTGGTTGGGGTGAAACTTTGATTAGACTAGGATTTTGGTCATTGTACAACAAATTGGTGACAGACAGACAGGCAGGCAGAAATGTTATCAGTATCAATGAAAGTGGACAGGAGCACAGTAAACTCTTTTTTTTTTTTTTTTACAGTTGAGGAAGAGGACATGGTCACATCAAAGAGATCTCTTTTTAATTTTTCACTTTTAACCAGCCAACCCCACTCTTTGTTTGGCTTTTTCCGCTAGCGGTGAAACTGGACAAGAGGTCAGGAAGTAACCATTTTTACTGGAAATCTGGGTAGATTTTGTGGCAGCGATGGCTATTGAGTATTTGCCCAACAAAATAGTGCAGTGGCAGTGGCCAATTTTGGGAGTGACGGGCGAGGATTGAAGAAAGCAAATGACAGATTCAATCACTCACTTACTCTGTCCCGAGAAATTTTTAGCTCCAACCTTGGTTGGAGCTACAGGCTCCAACCTGCCACTTGGCAGTTCACTATTGGTTATTTTATCTTTCTCTCTCTTTATTTTAAATGCTTTTATTATTGTTTTAAAATTAACCAAAACTGGAATAAGAAAAACAATATAAAATATGACGGAGACAGCATGGACGGAAATTAACCACACCCCTTGCCTGTCGACCGCAAAACGACAATTCTCTATTTCTAGCCTTCTGTAATAATAATGTGATTCCTGAACTGAAATGAAACTTATTTATGCTCTTCTTATGCAAATTCATACAACTTTCTTGGTTCTTTCCCCTCAGAAAGCTGTCCACCTTTTCCCCCTTCTTCTTCTTCGCAGGGAAAAGAGAGCGAGTTGATGATGATAAAAGGGATTGCATTGTTTCGTCAGTACTAACCGGTGGTTCTAGCTTTCTTACCCTTCAGTTCTTAATTTGTTCTCTTCTTCTTGGTCACTGTAGCTACTTGTAAGCTTGCTGCTTGGTGGGTAGCAGTAGCTGTGTTCATGATCATCATTTACAGTAGCTGGGTAGCATCATAATGATGAGAGAAAAATGCTTGTTTATTTTATAATTGAAATGAAAAGTGCCAGTAGTAGTATACATGCATGGCAATTGGCAAGAGATATGAAGCTTACGAATGTAAATAAAAGTACAATATTGTAGAGTTCAATCATGGCTTGCTGCACTTTATTTAAGAAATCAAGGGACTTGTCTGTTATTCTATGAGATAGTTCAGGTCCTAATTCATGAATCGGTCGATGCTACTATCACAATTTTGGAACATCGGAATATGAATCTGCTATTGCATCCTGCAAAATGATAAATAGACATCAAGTTAAAATAGTAATAAGTAAAATGATAAAATATAAATAAAATTATTATTATTTCGTATACCTGTAACAATTGAGTGTATGACATATGATTGAAAGATATTGTCGAGTCAATGTGCTCTTCATGGATAATATTTGTTGGTATAGTAATCGAATTCTGAGATTCATATTGTGCAATGACCGCCTAAAAGTTTAAAAATTATATCAATAAATATATATATATATCTCACTTGATAAAAGAAAACAAATATACTATGTGTTTTTTTATATGTAAAATAAGTTGAAGCAAACAAACCTTATCATTTTGGATGTGCACCACAGGACAACTTTCAACTTGTCGAGAATAACCAGCTTTCTTCTTACCCTATAAAATACAAGAATCACATAAGAAGCAAAAAATACTATAGTTTTCTTCTAAACAAAAGAGGACAAGCTAAAACAATTTACCTGAGTTTTTTTACCTTGAACTTCAGGACTATTTTTAAGTTGTTGAGAAGAACTTGTTTTCACTTTTTTACCCTACATATAATGTTATTTGAAATATAATAATTATAGTAGTATAATAAGGTCATATTACAGTATTCTTTTAAAGCAACAAAAAAGACAGGAAAAAAGAACCTGTGACTTTGTTTGACTTTTATGGTTTTTACTTCGCTCCAATGCACCTTTCAATCTGCCTTTTGGTTGTGCAACTGTAGCTTTGATTTTGACTCCAGCTACAATTGGACAATCTTGTTCGCCTTTTGAGCATAATCCCTCATCAGACACTCCACCTTGTGAGCATTTTTTCATCTCTTGCAGATCCTTCAACAACTTGGAAAGAACTCCACATGTATGCTCATACATAGTGTCTTTCTCGGCTGCTAGGGTGGATATCTCTCGAAAATTGTAGTTAAGATCCAAGTAACGCTTCCCAATGAGTTCCTTAGACCCTCCTTGAATTTGAGTTGAACTTCTTATTTGTCCATCTTTGGCATCCTTTGTCCATCTCTTCATTATGTACTGCTTCGGAATGTGCTTTATATTTTTCTTGTCAAGAACTTTTAAAGCATGAGCACATAATATTCCCACAAAGTCAAACTTTCTGCAACTGCATTCAACACCTTGAGAAGAAAACTCAAATCGGACTTGGTGCTCTGTACCTCTACCAACATATATCACTTTGTACACCACTTCAACTTCTGTTTTGCTAATCTTATCAATGGTACAATCCCAAACTTTGAGGTATTCTTCTTGAAACATTTGAAACACATTGGGAGTATAAATCTCTGATGCCTGTCTTAACACCTCAACATCTGCTCTCAATCTTGGGCTGGTGTTCCTCATTTTGAACTCTGACAAGAGCTCTTTATACCGTCTATCTTCTATCATGCGACCATAATGCTCAAAAAAGTACACCATGTTATGTTTTCGCTTCAAATACTTCTTCAACACATTGTTCATTGATTCACTACGTTGTGTACTCTTCATATCAGCAGTAAACATATGTCTCCCATAAACCATGGCCCATTTTTCTCTTTCCAAGAAAATCCCATGCAACCATTCATTGTTCTCCAAATTATACTTTTTAAGCATAGCATCCCAAGCTTCATACCATTTATCCTCATCCTCATAATCATATACACATGCACCAAAATCACCAGCAAATTGACTAGATGCATGAAATACATTGCTTAAGTGTTTAGCAGCATTTTGGTAAATATGCCAAACGCATAAACGATGATGGGTTTTAGTAAATACCTCTTCAATTGCTCTGGCCATAGCAGCTGACTGATCTGTTAATATAGTCTTGGGTTGTGCTCCCGCCATTGCAGTCAGAAAGGTTTGAAATAACCACTTGAATGATGTGATTGTTTCATCATAAAGTAATGCTCCCCCAAAAATTATTGTCTCCTTCATATGATTGACTCCAACGAAAGGAGCAAAAGGGCGACCATACTTGTTAATTCTGTAGGTTGTATCAAAACATACAACATCTCCAAAGTGCTTGTATTCAACTATTGACCTGCTATCTGCCCAAAACATATTCATAATAAGATCATCATCATCAAGCTGCACAGAATAAAAATACGATGGATCATCTGATTGTGATTTCTGAAAACAGTCCATGATTGCTTGACCATCACCCTTAATCATTTTAGCCCTTCTCTGAGAATCAATATAATTGTAGTAATCAGTATCCAGAAATCCATTGTTCTCACGACCCCCATTCTGTACCGCTAGTAAATTAATAACCGACTTTATTGGTAACCCAGCCTTTTCAGCATCATCTGCAATAGCTTTCTGAGCAACACTGATCTTTCTATTGGATCTCAACATGTGCTTCATCGGAGTGGGAGCCAAATCATGGTTGTGTTTTGCTTCAAAAGAAACCACCTCAAGCAAACCATCATTTTGTAGTTTGCACGTCATCTCTGCTAGACAACCTATTCTGGTAATTGGCCGTTCATAAGCAACCTGCTTCCCCTTTTTCTTTGCAGTTTTGCCTTCTTTAGCACATGTATATGTTCTTCTTTTTACTTCTCCTGTTGAAGTTCGCTTGACAAATTGCTTTCTTACGCTGAATCCAAGACCATGTGCATATGCACTATAAAATGCATAAGCCATATCATCAGAGTCAAACTTCATCCCAATTTGTGGTACTTGATTATTCAAACCCGTAGGATGATTTTGTTCTTCATCTCCTACGTTTGAATTCATATCTGCATAACACCCATAACTAAAAAGCTTAGCAAGAGGGGATCGAAAACAAGTTAAATTACTAAAGTCTTGACATGCATGTCCCTGCTACACCATAGTACAGTTGCTTTTGATTTCAATAATCAATTCAACAAACATATAATAGTTAAGAATTCCCAAACGAAATAACAAAACTACCTACCTACAATTTACTTTTACCAATCAAATCACGTACCATGGCTACTACTATGTACTGTTGTTTTATGTTGGATTGTGGAAAGAAAGAATATATCACCTAACCTTGTTTCCCTGCTGCTCCTCGAGATGGGGTTTTACTCAACAATGGCTTGTGCGGCTTCAGCTTTTGTTTTTACAAGAAGAAGAAGTTAACCTAATATAAGCGTAACCAAACCCTTATCTCACAAGTTGGGGCTACAGATTTCCGTCCATGCCGTCTCCGTCATATTTTATATTGTTTTTCTTATTCCAGTTTTGGTTAATTTTAAAACAATAATAAAAGCATTTAAAATAAAGAGAGAGAAAGATAAAATAACCAATAGTGAACTGCCAAGTGGCAGGTTGGAGCCTGTAGCTCCAACCAAGGTTGGAGCTAAAAATTTCTCAGAGTAGTTGGTTTCTTAAACCAATTTCTGGTCCATTTCCCTTATTAATTAGGCCTGCTTTAGTGCATAGTTTGAAATAGGGCTGTTAACGATGGCAAAGCTCGGCTCGTTAATATATTTCCAGGCTCGAGCTCGAGCTCGAGCTCGTGCTCGTCACGAGCTTTAATATGCAAGCTCGAGCTCGGCTCGTTTATGAAAATGAAAGCTTGAGCTCGGCTCGTCAAATAAGCTTAACGAGCCCAAATTCTAGTTCAGCTCATCAAATGTTCATGATAGCTCAAGATTGACCTAGAACTGCGCACAAAATTACATTCAAACCTTTAGCAAAGTCTAGCAAAGTAAAACACAATATTTATCCTAATTTCAATCCATAAAATCCATGAATTCTTATCCTTTTTTATGCCAAACCATTAAATGAGCTTGTTCGCGAGCTTTCGAGCTGAACATGGTAAGGCTCGAGTTCGGCTCGTTTAGTTAACGAGCTTGTTCGCGAGCCGGCTCGATTAAAACGAATAGAGTGTCGAACGAGTTTTTCTCGAGTCGCACACCGAGCCGTTCATGAGCGGCTTGGTTCATTAACAACCCTAGTTTGAAAGATGGTAGTGATGTCTATGTTAAATGGCCAGATCCGTGAAACTAGAACCAATCTAATAGTTTTTGGTAGTTTACCACCGTCCACCAGGTTTACAGATTCATCTTCTGTCCGTCTAGTTTATTAACGATGTTCTTCGTGGTTCTCCGTTTTTACATACAATTTTTTTTAATATGCATCTATTTTCTCACTGTAGACTTTCTCAAGTCATTAGAGATTTTCTTATAATGGAACAAAAAAAATTAGTTGAACCAACATTATTTGTAATATCGATACCATTTTTCAAGTAGGGCATATGCTTTTACGTACTGGTTATCAGTTTTTATTAGATTGGATGTAGTGGCTATAATGGTGGCGGCGGCCACTCAAGTCGCTCCATAATTAGACCAATCTTCTTTATTTCGGTCGGCTATATTTTATGTTGTTGGTATTATTAGATCGAGACTAATGAATTGAATGATTCAAAGGGGAGTGAAATCTAATAAGAAACAACCTAGCCATAAACCCTAATGAATGATAGTACGCATTGAAATAGTAGTTGAAGTTAACCACACCGGTGTTACCTAACATCCCTCGAGTATAGAGTTCGCAATAATCGGTTTAGTTGATTACAGACTTGCCTCCCATATGTTCCACAGGGCAGAGACATCCCACCACACACACTTCCAATTTTGAGTAGTTCTTTCCTCTCATCACTCCCTCAATGATGAAAGAAGCCATAAGTGGTTTTGCCTTTTCTTTGAACTTTCTTGTTTATCAATTCAATGATAGAGATAAGCATTCCCATTTAAGTAGGAATTCTCATCACTTATCTAACCCAAACAAGAAACAAGAAACGAAATAATTAAAGATACAAACAAGAGAAGATGGGAGAAAAAGTGGCCATTTTGGGTCCATTATTGTGTGTGTATGTTGAATCACATTGATTGAATTCTAACTACCCAAGTGGTGGTTGGTTCCCACATTGTGATCAATGGTATCAAGTGTTATAATTACTTGGCAAAAATTGGTTTACCTTATTAGATGGTTCATGAATGACTTTTTAGAGATGATGGATGGTGGTTGCTGAAAGATCATACATGGTGGGTCAAGACAAAGAAAAAGAAAGGAAAGGACTTTGGCCCTTTGTGGTATCAAAGATTTGAGCCCATAAACTGTAACAAAAAAAAAAACCCATAGATGATAGAACCATCCTCATGTGACTTGTCTTCCCCACATTCAAAGTTCAAACCATGTCATACCTTTCTTGTTAGGAATTTGATGCTTGCATTTATGAATGACAGCCTAACATTTGTCAATGGGCTCCTGATTTTGTTTTTTTTTTTTTACTTCCCTGAAAATACCAAACACTAATTGGTATGTTTCAAGTAAGTCCAATGCTAAAAAATTCAACCCTACTTTGTATTGCACAATCAAAAGTTGTCGATCTACCGCTTCTATTAAGGTCTCAGGTTCGGATCAATTTAGTCGGGTACCCCGAATAATAAATGGGCTTTTGTGGTGGGATGGTGAAGGGCAGGTGGATGGAGGAGATCAAAGTGTTCTGGACCTCGTACTGCGGGTAGGCCCAAGTCCAAGTGTGGGAAGGTGGTCCTAATTTCCCGCCTTATATTTATTTATTTATGGCACTTGCCTGCGGTCGTACAGTGTTTCTCCATTTTCGGTGGTGGGAAGCCGCAGCGGCACCATAATTATTATTAGCGTATCTGCATTCTGGCCAGCATCGGCGGGGCCCACTACTCTGTCGCATTTAACTCGTGCTGTGGGGCCCACTTCTTGTCTTTTTTTTTTTTCCCTTCTTCTTCTAGCGACGAAAGAAAAAGGAAAAACAAATAAATATTTTTCTTGATCGGGTCGCTGTTTCTTGGTGGCAGTTCGTATCGGAAAATGACGGTTCGGTGGCAGGCACGCGATTCCGGGACACAAATATGGGATAACAATATATACAGAGCAGAGAGAGAGCAGAGCAGTTGACTTGGAATTTTGACCGTTCGGTGGTAACTGCAGCCACGTCATAATCCACACTTACTGACTTCTTTTACTCCTATAGTTGTCAAACCATTAATATGTCGATCTGTATAATCAGATTCATTCAACTGATTTTGAAATAAAAATCGGTTGAAAGATTACTCATATCAGGAGTGTGCAACGTTTTGATTTCGTATCCGATCTTATCGAATAGACTATAGTATGGGGTGGTATTTGTTTTCGTGATTTTTATAAATACAGAAGAAAAAATGGACCGAATCAACATTTGGAACTGATCGAACCGAACCAAAAATAGGACCGCATGCAAAGATGTTCTGCTCGTTGATTTTAAGATGTCTTTCATGATTGGATTGCGGTTCTCGTGAGTTTTCATGAAGCAATACTGAAAAAACCAGTAAAGAGTTGCATTTTATTTGAATATGGATGAATGTGTTAGAAATCGAACATGAAAAACAGGGTATCGATTTGGCTGAGTCGCGGACTAGGTCGCTCTCTTTAAGACGTTCTCGGCACTGCCTTCGTTGCGCACGACAGACTATCAACCGGCCGCCTCAAGGATAAAACAACCACTTCTTGACTGGCGGTTTGTGGGAAAACCGGAGCTGTATAAACTAACTCTCTCTCTCGTGTTTGTGCTCTACTGAGGTGTGTTAAGTGGGTCTAGGTGTCTGCTATTTATATGAGCAGAAAACCCAAAAAAATTCCTCTTTCTTTGAGAATAAACCACCTTTTAATTAGTACAATAATTACTCTCATAATTAAAATGTATTCTATTAAGATAATTAATTCTAATTATTTTCATAATATTTATATTATTAATTATCCTTCTTATTTTTGGATTAGAATATATAACGTATAGCATCCTTTCTTATTAAGGAGTGACATTGAGAGCTGAGCTGACCTTCTTTCATAAAAGTTGGGCCCTCCCTAAGTAGCCTACTCGGTTAGGGCTTGAAACTGATGGGCCTGACAGGGCCAGCCCGGTCCAAGAGTACATCTGCTGCAGCCCACGGGCCATTTGGGGGAAACGAAAGATCGCGGGTGAGATGGCGGATGGCACCGGAGTGAAATGCCAGCGCAGCGGCAGCGGGGACTGCCACGGCGATAATTCCTTCACTCAGTCCGTCAGTCGAGACTCGAGAGTCGAGAGCATACTCCTCTTACAGTGAAAAAAAATAGAAAATTTTGAAGCTTTTCTTTTGGTTGACGAAGCAAGCAAGGAAGGAATCTTGAAAACCCCCAAAGCACGCAGGCAGGAGGAAGGAATGAATTATTCGAAGGACTTTCCCGCTTGCTAAATAACACGCCTCCGCCCTTTTTCCCCCCGAAGGGGTTCGACAGAGTTGATCGCCGTTTCCGACTCAGCTGATCTACCCGACAGAGTTCCTGGGTCGGGCCAAGATCTTGGTGGGAGAAGCTGGGTGGAGCTCTTGGCAATCCCATTTGTTCCGATTCTGGTTTCTAGGGCTGGTGAGAAGAAAAAGGTTGGATCTTTGGGTTCTGCTAATTGCGCGGATTTGGGAGCGAGGGTGTGAAGGAATCTTTCTCAAATGGCAATCAACAAGTCGAGACCTAAAAAGCCCTCCAAATTGTCCGTTTACCTTTATATTCCCAACATAATTGGTGGGTTTTTGCTCTTTTGCCTTCACTTTTTTTCTTTTGCATGAGTTCGTTTTCCTTCTATTGGTTGACACAGTGAGTGCTGTTTTTGGTAACCAGGTTATGTGCGGGTTCTCATGAATGTTTATGCCTTTGCTATATGTTTCACCAACAAGCAGCTTTTCTGCATCCTTTATTTCATTAGGTGAGGGATGGTGGTGTGTTCAATTTGAAAGCTTGCTTGTAAAGTTTTGACGGTAAGATTGGAATTTCGTTTCAGTTTTGTGTGTGATGGGATTGATGGTTGGGCTGCTCGGAAATTCAATCAAGGTATTGCCACTCTTCACTGACTTTTTCCAGTATGTGTAATTGTGTAACCAATAGAGGTGAAAAGAACTCATTTTTTCTGCTTTATGTTGGATGATGATTGATTGAACCAGAAGACTTTTAGTTTACACTAATTTTCGAAGCTGAACTTCAAATTAATACAGAAAACCACCTCAGTAGGCCTGTCAAATGGAATAGGAAATTCAGTTTCGACAGTTCTGTAAAGGGTCATTCCTGATGTACGTTCTTCTATTTCAGTTTCAACATTTGGAGCAGTTCTGGACATGATAACAGACAGGTAGGGCTTTTAGGCTATTGGAGTAGCTGCGTGTGTTTCAATACGGCTTCTGAGTGTTGAGTATCGTGTTTTCTGTACAGGATTAGCACCGCCTGTTTGCTTGTAATCCTTTCTCAAGTATACAGGTATTTCTCTCTTGCATGGTTGTAGCAATTGCTTGGCGATACTGTTATGGGACCACAGTTCTTACTTTTGGGGTTGATCATGCAGGCCTGGTTTGACTTTTGTATCACTGGTTGCCCTGGATATTGGTAGCCACTGGCTGCAGATGTACAGGTGAGTTGATGTGTTAAGGACTGGTAGTTTGATTGATTCTTTGCACTTTGATTAAGGTGGATGCATATAATAGCATCAAACTTTTCTTTCAAGTACTAACTTCCATTTACTGTACCTTGGAATGCTTGGATTTGCAGTACATTCTTGCTAGGTAAAGCTAGTCACAAAGATGTGAAAGACAGCACCAGCTGGCTATTCAGGGCTTACTATGGCAACCGTATGTTTATGGCTTACTGTTGTGTTGCGTGTGAGGTAATTGTTGAAGGGTTAGTCTGTCTGGTTCTCCTTTTAGAGTTTGTCACTTCCTGGAATGAAGATACTGATGTTTTTCTTTTACTCTGAATGTACAATTCCTTGGGCCACAGGTTCTCTATATTTCGTTATATCTTCTAGCCGAGAAGCCAACTGAACATTTGATGGATGTAAGTCCTCTCTCCTTTTTCATCGTAGTTACAGAAGGGAAAATGCCCTTTTGAATCTGGTGGTTTCTCACAGATTTTAACTTTCAGGTCCTGTTGTCCTTGACGAAAGAGATTTCCCCTTTCTCGATTTTAGTTGGTTTAAGTTTGTTCGGATGGGCAATCAAACAAGTTGTAAATGTGATACAGGTAGCACATGATACTCCAATGATAAGCTGATGGTTTCTCTTTGACATTTAGAATCGTCAGTTCTGGATTTTTTAAAGTGTTATTAATTTGAGTAATTTTGAATTTGCTCAGATGAAGACAGCAGCAGATATTTGTGTCCTTCACGACATCAACAAGAAAGAGAGCCCTTGACAATGCTCTCCATGGTTTCCGCAAAGAAGAAGGGAAGGTTTCTCCATGAGCCAAAGTTCCTGCGTTCTTATGTTTATGTGGAAAAACACTAATTCGGGGTGGGCGCAGCAATGTCACTGTACTGCAACTTTGCAGGTTTCTCTAACTTCTTGTCTTTCCACAACTTGTGTCTTGTTCATTGCCGTGGGAAGGAAAGATCTGATGCTTGGTGCAAGATATGTTCATGTGGTTTAATCCCACTGGACCAGGTTTTGAGAGAGTTTGGTGCGGTTTTTAGTTTTTTTGCCGTGTGTGGCTTTGTTTCCTTTCAGAACACTGGCTGGTTGTGTCTAGTTATAGATCTCAGAAGTTGAGGAACTCCATCGTGACGAATTTATAGGCCTCACACATCCAAGTTTCAAAACTCCTGTGATGATATAGGAAACCTTTTTTCATAGAACTAGATTGAATTTCACATGATTTACATCTGGAAAGGAAAAGTTCCCATATGTTCTGCAACATCGGGCCATAACCGATGGAGATAATCTTCCTTAGTCACTCATATCATATAGCTCCTTCGAAACTCTTGCTGGAAAATTAGTGCAAAGTACAAGCAAATCAATAATCAAAATCCTTACTAATACATGTCGAACACAAATCGACTGAGAATTACGACCTGAAACTCTAAACTGAAGAGACATAACAAAATAGAGCTCTCAAAACTGATAGCTTGGTGACGGACTAAGACGCTAGCCTTCTCCTTTTTCACTGCTCGTGCAAGACCTCAGCAGCATAATGCAACCAAATGGCTCATTCAATCATCTCTCCTCTACCTTTAAAGCTGTAGCTTGCAAATACCTATTTAGAAGTATCAATCAATTCAATACAAGCTGAACCCGAAAAACTGGCTGATGAGAATGGAGACACCAAGAGCGATAGCTATGAAGGAAGATGCCCACGTGAGCTTCTCAGTTATCCTAGGCACCCGGTCCTTCAACGCCTCACTACAGGACCCTATGAAAACTGTATAGCACCCCATTGCAACGACAGTTCCCACCAAGAACATGACCAGAAAAGCCGCACCAGCCACTCGAGAAGGCAAAGCGAGTGCAGGCAAAACCATCATGAGCGCATCAGGCTGCAATCCATGAACAATTCCAGTAGCAAAGGTAGCGAAACCTATCTTCTTCTTCTGCGCTACTGCAGGGGCGGTATCCAGTGATTCATAGACACCCACATCACACTCTCCATTTTCTAGGGCAACACATGGTGCGGGGACCTCAGAAGCTTCCTTTATCCCCATACCGCCAATGACAAGTAGGGTAAGACCGACAACTCGAGTGCCCCAAGTTCTGAGGATCTCGATATGGAGCCTATCCTTGAGCAGGAGAAACAGAAGACCGAAGATTACCTGGCCAGCATCATGGCCACACCCCCACAGAGCTCCAACAGCAGCACTTTCAAGACGTGTTCGACCAATTGAGAGTGGAGCCAAAGCTGCTAGGTGATCTGGACCTGAGAGTGTGTGGAGACAACCAGCGAAGAAACCAGTCCATGCGCTGCTTAAGAGTTCGGTCCGGATTAGTTTTGCTCCTAGACCAGCAGGAGCACTGGCCTTGGCCGCTGTTTGGTAGGTTGCTAATGCCGGTGATGCAAACATTGGGTGCATCGTGAACATCAAGATAGCCGAGAGTAGTACACAAGCCGCAACACTCATAGCCTGCATAAAAATTTCAATTATGTATTGAAGCAGCAATCACCAACATTTATTTACAGATTGAAATCAAACTTGCCCATTCTCATTTCAAACTTCTTCAAGATGGTTACAGAAATAGCTCCCTTTGCATTTTACCAGGCATTACAGAATCGAAGTCCTAATCTCATTGGGAATATGAAGTACAACAAGCTGAAGCCATTACATGTACGGTAGCCATTGAAGTCCTAACATCAATGTTGTAAATCATCTTAACCACAATAACCTTTCATTATTCACTAAATTTGTTCAAAATTCAAGTCACCAGCTAATCCTAGGTCTTCAGTGAACAGGGGGAAAATGCAATCCCCCACAGAATTCAAAAATTCTAATAGCTATAGAATATTCCTTGCATTCCTAATCCTATCTCAACGTAGAACATTAAACCCAGAGAAAAGAGACTACCTTTCGTGGCAAATGACTGGATTCAGTCGGGATCTGTTCGACAAGATCGGAACTTGGGGCCGACCCAGCGCAGGAATCGACTTTTAGAGGGGCCAGAGACGGCAATTTCCCGGAAGAAACGGACGCTACAGACGGTGGGTTCGTCTCATATTTGCAGGAGATGGTCCTAGCTCGCCGGAGCTGCAGCAGCGGCCGCCGTGGCAGAAGAGGGAAGCCGCCGAGTTTCGCGGCATCGATTCGGGGAAGACGAGGCAGAGAAGAAGTAGTGGGCTTGCAGTGGAGTTTGAGAGGCGCCGTGGGAGAAGAAGAGTAGAGCAGCCTCTCCATCGTTGAGGTGGGGTAACTCTTCGTCGTGAGGTCTGTCCTCCGCCGGAAGGTTTTCCAGAGGCGGAGAAGGTTTTTGTAGTGGAAAATTTTGGGCTTTTGGTTTGGGTTGGTGTAGATAAAGTAAGTTGGCGACTAGAAAGGAACAAGAGAGGGTTTAATTAATGGCGATACCGGGTAAGATTTTTTCCTAAAACTCTTCCTGTACTTCCCTTTTCGTTTGAGAATGTCCTCGTTCTTAAACGCTTTCTGCCGTTTCTGGCTTTATAGCATGATCCATGAAATCGAATCGGATATCCTATCGGAAAAAATTAGCGGTTTGATATTTTATAATAAAATCGTGGTTTAATCGTAGTTTAATCGTTAGACCGTTAAATATCGCGTACCGATTTAGCCTCCAATATTGGTATTTCGTGATTGAACCGTCGGTACGGTACGGTTTCATGGACATTCTTTATAGAAACAACAGAATTCAATGTTAAGAGTCAAACTGAGATCAAAATATGGCATTGGTTGTAGCTTTGCTAGTATTATTCTACTTTTTAGGGGTAATAGCCTATTAGGGATATTATGTTTTTTTACTATATATTTTTATCAAATATGCTTATCTATTTTTTTACGTCAAATAAATCTATGTATTCTAAAAAAATTATCAACAATTTTTTTGGTTAAAATTTCCATATAGAAACCGTCAACATAGATCGAACAATGGTTTGTGCGACACAAGTGCCTAAAATATTTACCCTAATAATATTACTTTAACATTTGTTGATTTCTTCGATATAGTCAATACTCCTGATAATTCCACCATAATGAGCCCTAGAGAAATAAATGGTGGAGCAAAACTATCATTCCCCTACCATTTTGCTGATTTTAGGCCATATGAACCACGATTTGACTGTGTTTGACGAGGTATTGTTGAAAATTTTAACGGAAAGGCAAGTTTGATATTATAACATTGGTAATGCGTCCAAACTCTTTTTGTCACTGTCCATGATACTTTTTTAAAGTGTATGATATTTTAAGTTGATATTAGTGGGCATCCATTAATTTTCTGCAATCTACACATTTTTGTACCAACCGCCAACTACAAAAATCAACTACTCCATTGTCATTTGAAAATTCCGTTCCCTACCAAATAGGGGTGGTTATACGGTCCGGTCCGGTTAAATTGGACCAAATTGATCTGGTCTCAGTCCGGTCTTTTCGGGAATATAAGGACCAAAGATTGGATTGGATACAGTCCGGTCTTGATTCGGTCCGGTCTTGACCCGGTCCGGTCCCAATTTGATCTTGATTTTAGGTGTTGGGGGTCTCTTATCCGGTCTTTATCCGGGATTTTTACCTCAAATCTAAGCCCGAATATAAGATTTGATTGTTTGCTATCCGGTCCCAGTCCGGTCCCGGTCCGGGTTATACGGTCCGGTTTCTGGTAAAACCAAATAGTCCGGGACCAAATAGCCAGCCCTACTACCAAAGTGGACATGTGGAATAATCGTTCATCAATCCTCATTAAACTTGTGGTCTATTTGTAGCCACCCCTCTCCATTCATTCCCCAATATAATCTTTTAGGTTACGGTTTTCGAGTTTGAATGCATGCACAATAATCTTAATTAATCGATAAAGTTAGAAATAAAATTTGATCATGATTCATATTCGTCCGAGTTTCGTTTCTTCGATCTCCCGTCCCTAAATTTGTTTGGCTCAGCCATCGCAACACAAAAACTTCATATTCTCTCTACTCTCTCTAACAAGTGACTGTAATTTACACCGGTGAATTTGAAGTTTCAACATCCCCCACGAAGCTTTCAAACAAGTGACCAAAACTCAACTCTGAGCTCAGCTCCAAAATCCAACTCGCCGGCTCAAAACCCACCACAAGAATCCGGCTCGCGCTCTCCACGGCCCTTCCTTCAGCTTGCTCGTGCCCGCCACGCGCACACAGCTGCCCCCCCAGCCCGAATCCATGATTCACATAGGCCCAAAGTTTCGGCCTGCTCACTGGGCCAGGCCTCCATGTCATTCACAAGCCCGACCTGGAAAATGGACTTCTCGGCGAAGAACAATAGGGCCAATTGGCGCCAAAAGTTAAAGCGATAAAGTAGGAGCTACGTGGCATTCACTCACGAGTCCAAGTCATCATTATCCAAAGATTCAAAAAAACGGACAATCAATTCCCCTCCACTCCATTCCTTCCACCTCTCTATCCAAAATAACCATGATCGACTAAACGTTACAGGAAATTCAAAACAGAGCAAGCGAGAAAAAATTTGCAGAGCTCTCTCTTCTCATGGCGAAGCCAGTCTCCATTGAAGTATGGAACCCAAATGGGAAGTACAGAGTCGTCAGCACCAAATCCATGCCCGGTACCCGCTGGATCAATCTCTTAATCGAGCAAGACTGCCGCCTCGAGGTATAAAGCTACAATCTTTTTTACTTCCTCTGTTTTTCATCCAAGTAACAGAATTTTGTGGGGGGTTTGTAGATATGTACGGAGAAGAAAACGATCCTCTCCGTGGAGGACATCATCGCTCTGATCGGCGACAAGTGCGACGGAGTCATCGGCCAGTTGACGGAAGATTGGGGGGAAACTTTGTTCGCGGCGCTGAGCAAAGCTGGAGGGAAGGCATTCAGCAACATGGCAGTTGGTTACAATAACGTGGATGTGAATGCTGCTAATAAGTATGGAGTTGCAGTTGGAAACACTCCTGTAAGCTTGTTTCTTTTTTTCAAGTTCTCTGTTCGTGTAGATGGTTGGCGGGTAATGGCTAAGTAGGGTTGGGGATTTACTTTAGGGAGTGCTTACGGAGACGACTGCGGAGTTGGCAGCATCGCTTTCGCTCGCGGCAGCGAGAAGGATTGTCGAGGCTGATGGGTTCATGAGGGCTGGATTGTACGATGGATGGCTTCCTCACTTGTGAGTATTGAACTTTTTTTTTTGCGCCGCCCACCATGTGTTTGATTAAATGTGTCTGAGAAGAGTTTTGTCATTCTTGTGACTTGGTGTTTGTGGCGGGTTAGGTTTGTTGGGAACTTGCTCAAGGGACAAACTGTTGGTGTCATTGGGGCTGGCCGAATTGGATCCGCTTATGCTAGAATGATGGTACTTTGCAACACTGTGTGAAAGCTTGTAGTAAGGACTAAGGCCTATGGTTTGAATTCTTCGTTTGTTTTAATTTACAGGTTGAAGGGTTCAAAATGAATCTCATATACTTCGACCTGTACCAATCAACGAGGCTGGAGAAGTTCGTCACTGCTTATGGTCAGTTCCTCAAGGCAAATGGCGAGCAGCCGGTGACCTGGAAACGAGCATCGTCCATGAGCGAGGTGCTTCAAGAGGCTGATGTGGTAAATTCCTTCACCTACAGCATCGTGTTCATCGTCGTCGTTATGTTTTCGTGTAATGAGATAACATTAGGCCGTCGAATGATGTTGTGTTCTGTAGATAAGTCTTCACCCAGTTCTGGACAAGACCACTTACCACTTGATCAACAAGGAGAGTCTTGCCACAATGAAGAAGGTAGAAAAGATTTCCTGTTACAAATGAGCTTTTAGTCCATTGAGAAAATACCCTTTCTTATTCCATGCATTATGGTCTCCTACAGGAAGCTATCCTGATAAACTGCAGCAGGGGTCCTGTGGTTGACGAAGTAGCTCTAGTCGAACATTTGAAACAGAATCCCATGTTTCGAGTTGGTCTCGATGTCTTCGAGGTAAAACCGGAACTCAAAACCAAGTTCCTGCAATGTTCTAAATCCTGTGCCATCTCAAGTTCTTTTTTTAATCAATCATGTTATTCTTGTTATACTAGGATGAGCCTTACATGAAACCGGGTCTCGGTGAAATGAAGAATGCCATTGTTGTGCCGCACATTGCTTCTGCTTCCAAGGTAAAATGGTTCATGAAAATCACAGGATCTTACAATTTTGATCAATAGCTCTTATCCTTAACAGTAGACCTCAAACAAGTGACCACAAGTAAACTTTCTTTTCTGCAGTGGACTCGCGAGGGGATGGCAACTCTGGCAGCTCTAAACGTCCTGGTAATTTTAAGCTTGAAGTTACAAAGTACACTTTCACAAGACACCAAAGCAACTTGGAACTAATCAAAACCCTGGTTTCTCAAATTTCATCATTGTTGCAGGGAAAGATTAAAGGGTACCCCGTATGGCACGACCCGAATCGAGTAGATCCGTTCCTGAATGAAAACGCACCTCCTCCTGCCGCCAGTCCAAGCATTGTGAATGCTAAAGCCCTCGGTGAGCTTCCTTCTAACTCTTAATTCTTCCACCAAAACTCCCAGGAAACCCATTTCTACCACACAAATCTTACCTTCTTGTGTTGTTCTTCTCACAGGTTTACCTGTTTCCAAGTTGTGAGAAGAACTGCCTGGATTACAATTACAACCTGAGGCTGCTGAGGTCAAAATTGTAAATTGTAATCTTTCTGAAATGTTCAGATGGAGGCCTGGAGGGGCTCTGATCTCACCTGTGATGTGAAAGGCAATTTACAGCCATGTATAATTTTAATTTTACTCTCTTGATATCATAATGGGAGAGTATTATAGTAGTTTGCTTATTTGAACCCTTAAAAGTTGGCCACGTGCTGCTTGAAGATTCTCAGAACTGCAGATGGTTCTCCGGCTTCTCACGGCGTCGTTCTGGTCGCCGGCGTCGATGGCCAGAGTACCGGCCCTCACATTGGGTGACGTCAGCATACTGCTCCCTCCTTAGATAACGGGATTTGGTTTAGGCCGTTTGGTAATTAACTGAGCGGTAGACAATCTATCAGCAGGCCCAGCCCAAACGTGAACTCTTACAGAATCCGAACATAATTAAGAAACACGGATATAACTCTGTTTCTCTCCAAAGCCCAAAAGGAAACGGCCCAATTACTGGCTTCACCCTCGGAGCACTTCTTCTATAAATACTCTTTTCTTCATTGGCATCGTTTTCACTTTGCATCTTCCGCTGCTCTAGAACCTTCCTTCCAGCCCTATTTTTTCGTCTTCCGCAAAAACCCAATCACCGGCGACAATGGCGACCGCACCCAAGAAGTTCACCCTGAGGTCGTCGGACGGCGAGACCTTCGAGGTCGAGGAGGCGGTGGCAGTCGAGTCGCAGACTATTAAGCACATGATCGAGGACGACTGCGCCGACAGCGAGATCCCGCTCCCCAACGTCACCAGCGCGATCCTGGCCAAGGTGATCGAGTACTGCCGGAAGCACGTCGAGGCCGGCGCCGACAAGGAGAAGGACAAGCTCATCACCTCCCCCGACGAGGCTCTCAAGACCTGGGACGCTGATTTCGTCAAGGTCGACCAGAATACCCTCTTCGACCTCATCTTGGTAAATGTCTCATTTCCCCTCTCTCGGGTTCTTTGGATTTCTTCTGTTCGATGCTCGATTTTGTTGTTTCTTGCTTCCTCTAGGGTTTGTGCCCCTAATATTTTAGGGTTCTGGCTTCTTGAACGGATATATATAAGCTCTAAATGCGGATTGCGCTGTTTCTTATTAGGGTTTATGCAAGATTCGATAGTTTGTGTTGTTGCCTGTCTTAGATTTTGTTAATCTGTTGAATGTCTCTGTGTATTGTATGAATAGGATATCCAAATTCAGGGATTTCAGTACCTTGCTTCTGTAGGTTAAACGTATACACAAATCACTGCAATTGTTGCTAAGAATGCAATCTATGTTTCCATACTTAGAATGTTCCTACAAAATCTGAACTTTTAATTATCCAGTTTGTGGGTTTAAGCTGCATTAGTGTTTGGAGTTGCTGATGATTCGAATCTTTTTGGTTCTTTACAGGCTGCCAACTATCTGAACATCAAGAGCTTGCTGGATTTGACCTGCCAGACTGTGGCGGACATGATCAAGGGGAAGACACCCGAGGAGATTCGCAAGACGTTCAACATCAAGAACGATTTCACCCCGGAGGAGGAGGAAGAGGTCAGGAGGGAGAACCAGTGGGCGTTCGAGTAGACCACCACCTACCGAGAGAGACTTTGCCATCCCACATTATCTACCTGTTTCCATGTCTATATATTAGGAGTGTCGAGATATATAAGCTTAGAGGAATTCAATCAAATCGCGTCTTTTGTCATGCTCAGTGAAAGCTTATGCCTTTTGTTATTGGTGATCAACAGAACCCATTTCTCGGCTATGATATGATATAAGTAGTACATTTTGGATCTTCCTTATTGCATTCATCTGCCCGTTTCATCTTTTCCATTCTCCTGCAAATTGCAGTGCATACATGTCGGGGAATCTCAAAGGGGACGTTTTGATTTGGCACTAAATCAAAGCAAAACTACTAAAAGAAAAGTGTATGTGGATGGAAAGACACTCAAATTTCACATTGCAGCTTTGAAGGAGGTCTGCGGATGTTGGTGGCTTGCTCGAAGGCATAAGCAACCTCGATCAGCTTTGGCTCGGTGCCTTTCAATCCTCCAAAAGCAATCCCAAAGGGGCTTCCCTTGCCATCATAACCAGCAGGGACTGAAATTGCAGGGTATCCTCCCATAGCCAGCACCGGAGCAGCATCTGCGCCGAATGTCACCATGGCATCTAACTTGTGCTGCTTCATCAGTCCTTCGAAGCCTTCTCGCGACAGATTCTCCATTAACTGCATCGCTTCGACCTCCTGCTCCCCTATCCCGTTTGTCGTTTCAGCTGCAACCAACAGGTCCTGTGCATACTCCTTCATGTTTTCCTGCACCAGCACAGTATAGCGTGTTACAACTTGCAACAAGCATGCTCATAGTGAATGAAACTGGAATTGTTTGGCTTTTCAGCGGATTACCAGAACCGGATTGTTGATGTTGAAAGCGATGATGTCTGCCAGGGACCTAACAGGCGATTCGACGAGCTCTTCGAGGTACTGATTGATCCCGACCTTGAACTCCGCCATCAAGACAGGAACTTCCCCGCTCTTAAACGGATCCAGAATCACATTTATCTCAGCAATCTCCAGATGATCCACCACTGTCGCACCTCCTCGCCTAAACACCTCGAGGTGGAGCTCGAACGCGGTTAAAACGGTCGAATCATTGACAGAATCCAAGAACGGACTCCTCACTACGCCTATCCTCTTCCCCCTGAGTCCATCCCGTTTCAGAAACTGCTTGTACCCGCCACAGGGTACAAACCCAGCTGCCTCTTTCGTCGCTTCGTGGTCGCGAGGATCGTAGCCCACGATCGCTTCGAGAACGTACACCGCGTCGGACACTGTCCTGCATATAGGCCTGCGAAACGATTCAAAGCTTTAGGGAGGGCAGGCATTGGAATCACTAAAGGTAAGCAGAAGGGAACTTGAACAGAGTTTGGTTATTACTTATTACCCGATTGTGTCCTGACGAGGGGAGATTGGAATCACTCCGGCCCGGCTGGTTAGCCCAACGGTTGGTTTGATCCCGACCACCGAGTTGCGGTCAGCCGGGCAGAGGATCGAACCGTCGGTCTCTGTTCCTAGTGAGACGGCGACCATGTTGGCTGCTACCGATACGGCCGACCCGCTGCTCGACCCGCACGGATTCCCGCCTTCCACGTAAGGGTTCTAAACTTTGATCAACCCAAACATTAGCCGCAATCTAATCTTTCATTAGCAAAAGTGATCAAAGTAGTAAGCAATATAGTTTAAAGCGCGTTTGGTGACCCTAAAAGTATTAAAACGTAAGTTTTGAAATTTTAAAACGCGATTTTGACTATGAAGACTAACCACGGCCTGACCGCTTCGGGCACACCAGCCGCCGGGAATCGAGAACGACCGGACGTTGTACCACTCGCTCTGGCTGGCCTTCCCTAGTATCACCGCCCCGGCGCGTCGCAGCCTCTCCACCACACCGGCGTCACGCGCCACCACGGAGCCCAGCAGCGCGTACGACCCACACGTCGTGTTGAGCGCGTCCCTGGTCCCGATCCCGTCCTTCAGCAGAACCGGAATCCCGTGCAGATCGGTCAGCAAACCGCCAGCCGCCCGCTCGCGATCTGCCTGCTCCGCTTGCCGGAGCGCGTCCGGGTTGACCTCCAGGACGCCGCGGAGCAGGGGATTGAGGGATCGGATCTGGTCAAAGTAGAAGTTGACCAGCTGTTTGGATGTGAGCTGATTTTGGGCGAATGCCTGCTGGATTTGTTCGACGGTGGCTTCCTCGATGGCGAAGTGTGGGGTGGCGATTGCGCCGGCGAGGATTAATGCGGCCGTCGATAGGAGAAAGAGCCGGGCGATTGCGCCGGCGTTCGGCAGTTTAGTGACAGCCATTTTCTCTTCCTCTCTATTTCTGGGTTTCGGTCGTCGGACGAGAGATATAACGGGATACGGATTTGAAAAACTCAAGCTCTCTGTCTCGGGCGGCGCTGCCACGTGACCGGTCAAATGAGGATTTGTTTTACCCAATACAATTAACCCAATAGTTAATCAGACCACTAGACTACTATAAGTACTATCCAAGTTGAGGGGTCATGTGCTAATAAGTAATAACTAGCAGGTGTGCAACGAATCGGAACAGAGAATCGCGATCATTAGTGAAAGATATTTTAGGGGCTAAGATTGTGCTCTATGGTGTGTTTCAGGGTTATTTGCAGGACGGTGTTCTTGATGGCGCCATTGCTGGATTCAACTCGATCCGTCGAAGTGCATCCCTCTTCTATGATCGTCAAGCCACATTGCAAACTCGAGCCCTGTTACGCTTTCGAATTGCAGAGTTGGTTCATGATGAGAGAGGCACATGTGTTACTTGTTCTTCTTTGTTGATATGTAGATGATGGGGTTTGAAGCCAATTTCAAGGGTTGTTATATGCTTGAAAAGTACATGGAATCACATTCACTCAAACGCATGCAGAGGAAAGCCATTCTTTTTTTTTACTCGGAAGTGATTCTCACTTTTCAGGCAGACACATGGTTCACATTTCATCCCAGTGGAATAGTGAGTAGATTTGATGCTTCATTCGTCGTTTTTCAACAGGGGTGATTCCTGTTATCCTTTCCATGTTGGGAATTGGAAAGAAAAGAGATAAAAAGGAGATGTCTTCTTGTTTTGGGTGGGATTGATCCTGATCATTTCAAAGGTACGTGGAGCTATGGTGCTAGTCCAACTCTGTTCATGGAAATGACTCACCCCTCCCATACACAGTTAAAACATTTGGTATGATCCGTTAGTTAAATGTTTACATTTGCGCTTTTTTCGTTTATTCAAGTGAAGAATCATTTAGTTCTTATAATTCGAGTTATTCATTTGCTAACTTCTTACGTTTTTCATTTTAGTCTCTTCACGTGAAGAACCATTCAATTTTTATAACTTGAATTATTAGGGAAATTCAGACAACATGTACTTTAAGATGAGACAACTCCACTCCCTCCCTATACATTTGCTCAAAAATGAGATTGTCATTATTGAAAAGCAAATTTGGTAGAATATGAAAATGAGATTAGGAAACGGAAAGTATGCTCCCGGCCTTTTGCTTATCATGCTTTAATTTCTTTCACTTTTCATATTAGTTGTGATTAAAGGTTGCTTGGTAATGAGATGGAGAGCACAACGTACACTTTGCGATTGGTATATATGTCGCATGGAACGATAACTTGAAATACAATAAATAAAGGGATTTCTTCTTCTTTTATTGATAATACGCTAAAATCAAACATACACATGTAGACAACCAGTAACCCTAAACTAATCCTCATTCTACTCGATAAAGGTTACGTGCCGTCTACTCTAACTACTAATTCTTCTGTGTAAACATAAAATATCATACTCAACGGATGCGGATTTGGGTCGGTTTGGTGCAGCCCAGTTGTAACTCATGCGTGTAATAACAGATCGCTCTACAACAATTACGGAGTGTAGTTTGGATTCAGGAGGGACTATAACCCCTTCTCAACTTTCAAATGCAAGTAAATTTACAAGCAAAAAGTTGATTTTTTTTTTTGGAAAATAAACTAATTGACAAGGCTCCAGTTCCCCAACAATTTTGTTTTTGTGGGATGTCGCATGCCTTGTTCCATGCCTTTCCTTGTTTCCCTCATCTTGTTTTTCTCTGTATATACATAATTATGATTATCTATATTATTATTAGCCAAAAGATTAAAGAGGAGTTGACATGACTTGAATCGAATGATCTGCCGTAGATCGAAAGTTATTGGGCTCCTGTTTTGGATATGATACTTCTATGCAATTTGTATTTTGTCAGGTACAGTGAATAGGGGTGGGCGTTCGGTCGGTTCGGTTTGAACCGAACCGAATTAGTATATCCCGATTTTCCGAATCACAGAATCCCTCAACCGAATTCGAACCGAAATATAATTCGGTTCGGTTTGGCCGAACCGAATTATATTCCGGTTCGGTTCGGTCGGAAGACTCAAACCCGAAATATAATTGCCCACCACCAGGCACCAGCGCCTCCTCATTTTCTTTTCTATCCCCCTTTCCTTTAGGGTTTTGGGTCACACTTACAGCCGCCAGACCCGCCACCAATCCTCTCTCTTGCTCTGGCCTCTCCGCTCTCTTCCTCAAACCCTCGATCTCCGACTTCCATCTCCAGTCTCTCCCTCGATCTCCGACTCCCCCCCAACTCTTACTCTACAATCATCACATCTCCCTCTCAACTCGATCATCCTCTCCTCTCCCTCTCTCCCAGAATCCCCCAACTCGACCGACGACCATCGTCTCTTCTCCTCGACTCCCCGACTCCGTTATTCCCCCAACTCGACCGACGACCATCGTCTCTTCTCCCCGACACCCCGATTCCCCCAATCTCGACCATCATCCTCTACCTATCAGACCCAAAACACTCCAGGCCTGCACAACTCAGGTGGCGATGGCGTTCGACGGAGAGGAATACCAGGCGGCGGCATGCAATCAACGGCAATGACAACAACTCAGGCGACGATGGTCATCGACGGAGAAGACAACCCAGCGGCGGCAGCGATTGCATGTAAATTTGGGTTTGTTTTTTTCTCCTTCGTCTCTGTTTTTTATTTTGGTCGCGCATCTACATCTCTCACTGAGAGAGTCCCAAATCCCAGATTGTAGATCTAGATTCCCCATCTACTACTGCTTTCTTCGTGCTTTGCATGTTGCCGATCTTCAATTCTTCTCTGTCTCCTCATTTTGCTTCTTCAATTAGAGATTTTTTTTATGGATTTTGCCTCTTTTTGTTCTTTGAATGTGTTTCATTCTTTGCTTTACAGGTTTTTGGTTATGAGATTGGAGCGGGTGGAGGGAATGGGAAGGGGTCAGTCGGCTGTGCTCTGCGTGGGACGGCGTCGATGGAGAGCCAGAGGAATCGAGGTCCTTGAGAAGACAGCGGCGGAGTGGAGCGGCGACGACCGTGAGTGGGAAAGGGGGCGGACTGCCTAGAGGGTAGGGTTGTGGGGAGAGTTGGGCTGTAAGTGAGGGTTTGGGCTATGTATATTAAGTTTTTCGGTTTTTCGGTTCGGTGTTCGGATTGTCGGTTCGGACAACACGACCCTGACTCCCGAACTATGCGTTTTTTGTTTCCGATTTCCGAACCGAACAAAAAAATTTCGGTTTCGGTTCGGTTTGAAGTCGGTTCGGTTCGGTTAGGTTCGGGTTTACCGAACCGGATGCCCACCCCTAACAGTGAAGTTGGCTTTCTCTCACTCGTGTACTAATTGACAAACATTGTATTAGTGAACCACGTAAATCTATTTATTTTTGTCTTTTTGCTATTATTGTCTTTTTTTGCATTGTCGTTTATCCCGGTCAGTCTTTTGCCAAAATGAAATGTTCCAAAAAATCACTAACGATAAATGTGGTTACAAGTAGCTCGTGTTTTTCACTTAACAAATGGAAATGGTAATCAAGCAAATTTTCCTTAACATGTAGCTAGCCTGTGATACGAAGCCACGCATCTGTGTGTGACAAGTGCTCTACGTCAACTTAATCATCATCATTATATTGCTTCTCACTTTACTTTCGAATTGCGACACATAATTCATGCGTAATCTTCACGCACCATGCAAGTAAAAAACACAAGTGTCAATTCACAAAAAAAAAAAAAAAATTCCCTACTTGTTGCAGCTAGAAGTTGTGAATAGTAATTTTCAGACGTGAAGTCAATCAAGAACGATATTGAAAATCAGATGAGGAATCGATTTATGAATAATTTTTTAATTGTAATATCGGGAAGGGGTTTGTATAAAAAATTAAGTGAAAAAATGTATATTACAAACTTTTCAGAATATAACAAGCCGGATTCTATAGTTTTTAGGGTGGTCCGTCAAACTACAAACTAAGATGCACATAAAATGACACGTAAAGTTTTGTAGCAATCTTCATCTAGAGCTAGTTTCTTGAGATTTTTTTAAGATGACTTCCCTGGTGTGTTGCTTTTGGAGAATTCCTAAATTTGGTTCTTTCTTCTTCTTCTTTTGTTATATCCTAAAAAAAACTCGAACAAAATCCATAGAAAAGAAAAAAGGAAAAAATGAAGCATTTACTCATGTTTCCAACCTTTGGGTTTGGCGTAGTATTAAACATGCATATAAAATACCGTGATTATATAAGTCGTACATTTCCACACACGATCACCAGAAGTGGATGATGAGTAGTTAATCATGATTAAGTTTTAGTTAGGTTACTTATTGGTAATGGTAGGTGCGTGACATGAACAAAATATGGATTAAGAGTGTACTTAAACGCATGCATTTACGTACACGTACGATCATTAGTAATACCTATAGCTACTATAATTAATATATATGTGCTCGTGCAGAGACCTAACCTGTACCCAACTTTCTTGTTCTAGTCGGTTTGTCGTCTTTAGCGTAAACTTTGTTAATTAAGGATTATAGATCCTAGATTCCTGGTGATAACTTTTCTTACCAAATATATTTAACAAATATATGGTGGCTACTTTGGTGCACTCACTTTTTTGGGTGTATTGAATACGTTCATTTCTAAAAGTGGTCATAATACATCAAATCTAAAACTTTAGTGGGTAGCATTAGTCTAATCTAATGATGTAACACAAAATCACAACTAATCAGTCCATTACCCTAACCTATTAATCTTCAATTTTGAATCCCAACCCAAAATTCCAAATTGTAAACCCTAACTCTAACCCTAAATTCCTAAACCCTAAACCATTCAAATTAAAGTGAATCCTGAATGATTTTTTGTACAAATTCATGTGGTTCTTGTTCATCATAACACAAGTGATAATTGACATAGTTTTCACATGAACCGCCGGCTCAGAATGACGATTATGAGGCGGGTGCATTGAATGCACCCCAAAAAAGTGAGTGCACCGAAGACATAACTATATATATAGTTTCGATTATCTTTTTAGATGATTGTAATTGGGGTCAAATTCGATCTTATATGTACTTGTTGTAATTTGTATTGATTATTGATAGATTTTTAATGCACTTACAACACAAATAAAATGGAGTATGCAATTTTAATTATATAGCAATGATGCAATCACGGATATTCGTTGTTTTAGGTACTATTTAAGGGATTTGAAACGAGAACCTGAAATCTCCCATTAAAAAATCTACATATGATAAGAGATAGCTAAGATCAATTTAAGGAATGGCAAAAAAAAAATAAACTCAACATTTGAGTATGCCCAAACCCAATTTATTCTAAGTCAAATCGTAATTTTATTTGGGGCAAATCCATACCAAATCTTTTAGTTTGTGTTTAAATATCTTATTCTAATACAACTTCTGTCTCTTTTTTTTTTTATGAAACAAACAGAAGGTGGTGGCAACACCTACGTCAAAGATGTAATTGAGTTGAAGTTAGCTAATGAAATGATTAATATTGTTTTTGGTATATAATCATCTATATTCATTTGCTGTCTGACCCAAATGAATTGATCCAAATTGGACTCAACTCAAATCTAACTCCAATCCAAAATTATTAAAAGTGCGATCAATTTGGACATGATCTAATAACTGTAATATAAGGACAATTGATTAGGATTTCCCAATGAGCCGACCAATTCCCAGGTTTATTCATAGCTACACCAAAACAAAATGTGACTCCACCATAGTCCCATATTGTGTTTTGGACATTTGGCCTCATTCCACTTTATTCGCCAATATGCTACTCTTGGCATACTTCTTTGTTATTCTGCTGTGAATAATACCCTGCCCATGTCTGTTTAAAAACCAAAAAACAAAAAACGAAAAAATAAATAAATCCTAGCGCATGTATTTAAGTGAACATAACATTTAAAACGGGTCGGTAAGTAACGAAAGTTGGATCTTGACCTTCAAAACAACAGCACACACATTTGTAATTATCCATGACTGTTAAATACAGAATTCGAATTAATTTTTTTCCAATTAAAGTAACTTTTATTTATCAATACTAAAGTGTGCATACAAGAAATTTGTTTAGCAATAATGTTGCTTTTCAACACGTAATGTAATGTAAGGGTATAATTGAAGTCTAAATCTATAGATTTTAAACAATTTAAAGACTCGAACTCTTGAGATTGTTGAAAAAAAAAAACTTTAAAAGATTTATTGTTCGATAGTAATTAGAAATTTAGGATGATTCGAAAAGTACTGATAATTTATTGTTAACAAGGGTATTTAGTGAAATATAAAAAGAAATAAAACAAAAGAAAAAAATTTCAAAAATTAGATATTTGAAAATTCCCAAAACTAAAATTCATTGTACAAAAAGCAGGAAAAAAAACATAACTCCATGACCCAAACCATATTGCTAAATTCCAACATCAAAATCCCAATAGATCTCTTCATGAAAATGTCAAAAATCAAAATACTATGAAACGTTTCATTCTCATAACTTGTTACCAAAATCCTAAGTTAGGTAGACAAACTGTTATATTCATCTGAAAAAAAGATATTTCAGATTAAATTAGAAATTTACCCGGAATTCTCTTGAAAATATACCCTTTTAGCCTCTTCTGTAACAAATACAAGACGGATACCAACAAATCAAAACTGAAAAAAATAAAGTAGTGGAGTTGGAGACACAACACACGATATATAATTGCCTTCCTTCTCTTCCTCTCGCTTCATTTCTTTTACAACTCCATCTCTCTCTCTCCACATCCCATTTTTTCCGATCAAAATCTCTCCTAAATTCTTTCTTCCCCAATATTATTTGCCTTCTAATCGCACCGGGCGAAAAAAAAAAAAATAACATGGCCATGGCAATTGCAGCAGGCTATGGCCAAATCCCCTTCGACGAGGAGATGCAGAAGAGCTTCCGCCCTCCCTCTCCCACCGGCGCCGGCGACGACGACCACCAGCTCCTCAAACCCTACAAGAAATCAAAACGCCTCGCTTCTCTCGACGCCTTCCGCGGCCTCTGCGTCCTCGTAAGCATTTCCCCTGTATCTGCATTCCTCCCCTGTTCCTTACTCTGTTTCTCTTTTTTGATTTTTCTTCTATTCGCGTTTCGAAACTCAGGCCAGGCCGTTTCGATTAACGCCCCCAACTCTTCCTGTTTCTATTTCTGTTTGGTTGCTGAGAAAATGCATCTCGTCACGATTTTGCCGTTTTTCATCCTGGAATTATATCGGCTCTGTTATCTGGTAAAAAAAACAGAGCCTGGTAAACTATTTTAATTTCTTCCAATCACAAACTTTAATTTTTTACTGTAATTAGAAGCCAAAAAGGGAATAGTTAGTTTTTTCCCCCGGATTAGTCTTGTAATCAAGAGTAATTACTGAATCATTAGTTATACTTAATATTATTGATTCAGGGTAAGAATTTACCGTGGGATAAACGAGGGTAACTGGGTTAATTTTTGTTGCTTAATTTATCCTCAAACTGAGAGAATCATTATCGATAGTCGTTGGTTGGCCGACATTTGTTTATGCGGCAATCCGATGCAACGAAAACCCTGCTGACCAATCAGCACCTGCCACGTCTGATTTCCCCCTCCAACCGAAAGCCTTCGCGCCGAAGAGAGTCCCGTCCACACCTTTCTTTAACCTAATCGCCTTTTTCCGCGGGAGAAACTCTGTTTTCCGTAGGGAGAAAAGATTCATTCTTTGGGTTCTCCGATCAAGTAGAGCAACTGGGGTTTAGAGCCCACCAAAAAGAAGTTCCGTCGTTTGCAGTTGATGAAATCGCCGCAGTGTTCTTCTTCTATTTCCCCCTTCTGATTGAGACTGAAGGAGAAGTGAAAGGGGACTACTGTGACGATTTCAAGCTCTGAAAATGGCGGTTCTGTTCTTTGGATGTCTACCGCGGTATCTGCGTCTTCGTATGTGCTGTTCCGATTCTCGATTTCGCTCCCCAGTTGCGATTGGTTGGTTACTCAATCTGGGTTGCGATTTGTTGTTTGCTTGCTCAATCTTCGCTCACTGTACTCTATCGTCTGCTGATTTGGGGTTTTCTTTTTTTGTCGGATGGTTTTTAGCTGATGATTGTGGTCGATTATGGAGGTTCTGTTTTCCCAATAATTGGTCATTCGCCGTGGAATGGGCTTCACTTGGCGGATTTTGTGATGCCCTTCTTTCTCTTCGTCGTTGGTATCTCAATTGCCCTCGTCTACAAGGTAAATTCCCACTAGTATAGTTTCAATTTTTTCAGCCTTGAAAGTTGAAGGGATAGGGAAATAAAGAATGCCGGTGATGAAAAGCTTTGCTTCTTTGTTTCACAGAAAGAGCCAAATAGATCAGAAGCCACATGGAAAGCAGTGGGCAGAGCAGCCAAATTATTTCTGTTGGGTATTCTTCTACAAGGAGGTTTCCTTCACGGGCTGAACTCGCTCACCTACGGTGTTGATTTGGAAAGAATACGCCTGCTTGGAATCTTGCAGGTACTTTATAATAGCTGGCTGCCTGTTTGAAGCAAGGATGATGTTGTGAATGATTTATCTTCTGTTCATTTATCTTGTCCTTGAAGGTTGAAGCCATATATGGGTGGCAAAAGTTTATGTCTTTAGTAAGGTTATGCCTATAGATTCTTAGTGTTTTGTTGTCATCTTTCAAGCCAGAGAATATCAATTGGGTACCTTGTTGGAGCTCTTTGTGAGATCTGGCTCTCACGCAGAACAAGGAGAGAAGTTGGAATCCTGAAAAGCTACTACTTGCATTGGTAAAGTTCTTGGCTTTTGCTTTTGGAAACCAAGTGACTAATACTTGTTTCACATGATTCTTTCTACTTTCGGCTTTCCTGTTTGTCATGGGAGAAAAATGCTGCTGTTCCCCATTAATCAGGCAGTCTTCTACTCTTTCATTGATGACAATAGTGAACCTTTTCCATTGTTCAGGGTCGCAGCATTTGCTATTATTGCAGTGTATCTCGGGTTGTTATATGGCCTATATGTTCCAGACTGGCAATTTTTTGTACCTGGACAAGGTTACTTCGACCTTCCACTCGATGCCCGTGCCTACACGGTATGAGCATGATCAACCTTCTTCTCCGTTGAACTGCTGGCATTCGTCTTCTGATGTAACAACCAGTACTGGAATTTGCTAAGTATTTGTATCATGAATGCCAGGTGAAATGTTCTGTAAGAGGTGACGTTGGTCCTGCTTGCAACTCTGCTGGAATGATCGATCGCTATGTTCTTGGTATCAATCACTTATATGCAAAGCCTGTTTATAAAAATCTCAAGGTACAACTATTTGCCAAGTATCGCCAATTCGCTCATTGCTAAGCTGGAGATCGATAAGCTAACAAGAATTTTTGTATGATCAGGAGTGTAATATCTCCAGAGATAAAGTAGTTCCTGAGAGTGCTCCTTCATGGTGCCATGCCCCCTTTGATCCTGAAGGCCTTCTCAGGTGAGCAATTTCATGTCCTTTTCACTTCAGCTGTTTCTTTTTTGCTTAGTTGCCTCATCAATAATAAGAGCATGGATTTCCTTGACATCGGTTCCACTTCGTTTACAGCTCATTAACAGCTGCAGTGACCTGCTTAATTGGGCTTCAGTATGGCCATGTTCTTGCTCATTTGCAGGTGAGCTTACTTACTTGCTTGTTTGTTGTTTGTTTACCCTTTCCTCCTTACTCGTCGTAGTTTCTTTCTCCGTTGCTACTCGATTTGTTGTAAAAAAAATGGTGGGTTGCAGGATCACAAGGGTCGTCTGGAGAACTGGTGTGTCTTCTCAGTCGCTTTCCTTGTCCTCGGATTGTTCCTCGCCCTTCTAGGTACGTTACAAGAATCACTGCCTCTCACATCAGAGATTCTGTCATATAATTGAAGCCCGAATAAATTATTTCACTCTTTTCCCATTTCAGGGTTCCCTATCAACAAACCTCTATATTCAATCAGTTACATGTTGATCACTTCTGCTACAGCAGGCATCACATTCTCCGCACTGTACTTGTTGGTAAAAACTCAGAAGATCACAGCATCACTGTTTCTCAAATTCAACTTGAATAATGCATTCTCATCCCACATGATATCTTGGGGGAACTTTTAGGTCGATATATACGGCTACAGATGGTTGACACTGCCACTGGAGTGGATGGGGAAACATGCTTTGAGTATCTTCATAGTTGTGTCTTCCAACTTAGCCGTCATTGTGATTCAGGGTTTCTACTGGAAATCTCCTCAGAATAACCTGGTAGGCGATATAAGTTTTATGCTTCTGTTGTTCTTTGGCAATAGCATACCTTCTTGAATGTCACCAGTTAATACAAAGCTCTGTCATTTGGTTTGAAACAGATGAACTGCATAGTCTCACTCTTTGTGCATCAATGAAGATGACTTTGGATTTTGTTGGCTGGTTTGTCTGTGGATCCTCTCAGGAGGGAGTTTTACCACATGTATAATGGTGTGGTGTGTGTTTTGCCTCCCGCCATGTCCATCAGCAGCTTCAAGGAAGGCGAGAGAAGGAGAAAGTGATTGTGAACTCTATATATTGGTTTATTAATCGCTTGATTCTTTCCCATATGAGTTGGCTTGGCTCACTAGCCATTACAGTTCTGTGGAGAGATTGATGGGAAAGGGAAGGTCGATGACACGATCAGTTTTGTCTGATATGTACAGAGTACAGTGAGCAAGTAGGCATTCATGAGAGCTGTAGGCTAGAATTAATTAATTTGCAGACAATCGAAAATCATTAGAAACATTTGCTCACAGAATATATAAATGATGTTGTATATGAGATACTTGAAGTATCCTGCCCAAGCTAGTCACTTAATAACTAGTAGTTTTTTAATTATTTTTTTATGGGTTCTTGTACAAAGGATAGTAGGGAAGAAGAGAAGAGGGTTGTGTATTACATGGGTCGAAAATAGAATGTTTGGGTTCAAAGTTCAGACTTCGCAAACACATGACTAAATGTGTTGGGTATTAACTTGTAATTTAGAGAAAAAGGGTTTTTTTTTTTGGTTTGTATGATATTAAATCTTTGAAATTTCGAAATTTCAAAGATTTAATACTATTTTTGTCGTTACAATTTTTCACAATGTCATTTCAGTTTCCAAACAACTCTCTTTATAATATTTATGCATAACGAAAAGAACATTATGCCACATCAATACATAAATAGTATAGTATTTCATTATCCTTCGCCCCAGACACAAAGACATTGTGCTCCCTGTATAGTTTGTAGATATTAGGGAGGGAACAAAGCTCATGCTCTCTTATATATTTTACCCACAACTTCATAACAGATAATTAAGCTTATGTTATGCATAATCTCTCTCTATAATCAAACCATTGCCGCCGTTCAATTGAAATTCATCGGGTACTTGGGCTGCCTATCCGGGCTAAAAAGGCCAAAATGTTTCTCCAATTCCGGTTCCTTGTCCCCTTCATCAAACATTGCAAAAATGTACGTCTCAATCGGCCCAGCCCTCTTCGGGGTCCCAACCTTAACATGTTGAACCAAATTGTAGTTGTAAGCCCTCGCATTATCCACCGTCGTGGCATCCCCACCACCGGCCGACGACCAACCGGTCTCGGACACCACGATGTTCAGAGACCCCATCTCTTCCTTCTCTAGAGCAGAGTAAGTCGCGTCAAGCATCGCGTCGAATAAGTTACTGTAGCTCAGAGGCGGGTCGGAGACCAAACCGGGCGGACCGGTGAAGGTTGCGTAATCGAGCCGGATCTGGCCCGGGTTATTGCCCGGATTGTCGCGGTAGCTGAAGAACGGGTACAGGTTCAACATCATCGGGGAGTTGTTGTTCCTCAAGAAGGGGAGGATCGAATCGAGGAGGCTGCGGTACTGCAGGTTGAATGATCCATCAGACGGCGGGAAGGCATTGCCCATGACATTGTACTTGAAGGCGGTCGAGACCTTGACCCGGTCGCCCAGACCGGCACCGTTCAGTGCGGTCTGGATGTTCTGCATCGCCCCGAACAGGAACGGGGCGAACCGGCCGTCGGCCGGGTCGACCTCGTTCCCGACCGTGATGTACCTGAACCGGACGCCGGCGGCGGCGTACCCGGCGACGTTGTCTCTGACCCACGCGTCGGCGGCGTCCTGACTGGAGGCGACCGACGGGAGCTGGTCGTTGGGGACGTCAAGCATGAGCTCGATGTCCGTCCCCCTCAGGGCGTCCAGTGCAGGTTGGTGCGGGTCGTAGAGTCGCATCCTTCGGATGTTGTTCTGGTTGAAGAGTGCTACGACTTCGCCCGGTTGTGGCAGGTTGCTGCCTACCCTCCCGTAACAAACTCCGATTTGGGCACCTAAAAGATCATTGTGAAACAATCACAATATAGCTAGAACCAACTTAAAATTTGTAAAAATATGCATATTATAAGAGTGTGTATTAGAGGTGCATGTATACCTGTGGTGTGTAGGCTAGCAAGAAGCAGAGCCAAGAGCAACAAGGCTGTGGAAACATTGGTAAAATGGCTGTTCTTGGGAGTTTGCAATTTGAGGGAACCATGTTGAGAATTGAGATAGATGCAAAACTGTAAGCAGATCTTGAGTAGTTTGATTCTACTAGAGAATAAGGTGCTGATTTTATAGTGAGAAAAATGAAGGATATAGGAGCATAATGTTGTTCAATTATCAATTCGACAGGTCAGTTACTCCATGGACTTTGGACTTGTCTTTGTGGAACTTGGGGCTTAGATTTGTTCTACAAAAAAGTACGAACTTGGAATTTATTAGGTTATCCATACATTACGTTTACATAGAAGAGTGTAGTATAGTGGTTGATCTTCTCGTCCTTTAATCATCGTACCAAGGGTTTGAATTTGTTTGCAGAGATGGAACTCATTCTATTGCCGATGATTTATCTGTTTAACAGTGTATGCACTGTATTGGAAAACACTGTGCATTGCGTCTCATTTGGGGACATGAATGGATACTTCATGGAAAAATTCGTATGGCGGACAGTTGGGAGAACGATGGAGTAATTGGAGTTATTTGCATACTCTTCTTCTTCTTCTTCTTCTTCTTCTTCATGGTGGCATTGAAAAGTCGTGTGTGGAATACATTTCGTGCCACCGACAGCGCTCTATTGGGCACTATTCAAATTAGATTTGAATTGAGTTTAATTTGGATCAACACATTTGCGTTCCGATACAAATTAGTCTATTTGAATCCAGATGATTGTCATAACTCATATAATATCAGGGGTGGGCAATGGACTGGTTGGATGGGTATTCGTCTCAGATTGACCCACCCACTTACTAGTGGGTTGAAATAATTGTGACCCGCAATCCACACACATTCTTATGCAAGTTGGGTTGGGTGGGGGTGGGTGTTGTTGGGTCGTAGGTTAACCCGTAAAATCAATTCTCCAACTAGCTATTAAGAAACTTGACTAACATTTATAATAAGTTCATAGCAAAGTAGTAAGATTGTATCAATTTAGACACTTCTCACTTTCTCTCTAGTGAATCCATGTAGTATTTGCATAAAAATTTTTAATACTCTATCCACCAATTGTGTAGAGAAACTTACGCATGTTGTGATTTTGATACAATTAATAATTTATAGTTATCATCCCAATATAATGAATATTAACAATAATTTGCATTCCAATATCCAATAAATGGATATTACATAACACAATAACCAATAACAATAGTCAAAAGTATTATTTATTCTCCACATTAAGAAGTATATGGTCAGACCATAGTGCAGTTTGGAAATATGATATTCGATACTATAAGAAACAACATTTTTTTCATGTGAAAATAGAAAGCGGGTCATTCGGGTGACCCCAATCCACCCACCACCCACACACATAAGTGCGGGTGGGAGATTTATCAATTCGCAATCCACCCACATGAATCACCCACAGCTTGCGGGTCGGATTATTTGCGGGTGGATCGATATCAATCTGCGGATTACGCACCCACATACCCACCCCTAATAATATCGAACATTTCATTAATTGAATTCAACCAAATTATATTTTTATTGTACAATAAAAATTAAAATAGAGCAAAAGCAACACTAGAATCAGGTATCCATTTTGTTGTGGGTACCTAATATCATGGGTCCAATTTAGATCCAGATTAAAAAGTGGCACGTGGGGCTGAGGTTGTTGGGTAATAAAAAAAATTATATAAGAAATAATCGTCATTTCATAATCTTTTACGTAATAAATGTGTATTTTACATAACAATTGTAAAGTGTCATTAACATAATGAACGAACGGTTCTTTTACATAATGAATATTAATTTCGAGGTTGAACTTCACAACATTGATCAAAACCTATAATAACAACGACGACAACTTAATGAGAACTATATGATCTGCATTTTTCTTTTTTATGAATATTCTAACTGAAGTCTTTAGGCAATAGAGATTGGTTCGTTCATCACAGATTCTACAACCTTCACCAGCTTGGTGCTGGCATGGTACAAGTCCTCCTTCATGTAGAAAAAGAAGAAGCCTTTCACCGCTCTCCAAAACATCTCCCTCACTGCTTTAGGAACCTCGCCGCAGTTGTCTTCTCCGGTGGTCAATCTCGCCATTTGTCGCGTCAATGTTGTGATCAGGTTTTCAACCTCTTCCACAGCTTCTTCCATGTCCATTCCTCTTCTCATGATTCTTAGTGACACTGCATTCACGTTGCCTTCTTGTGCTTCTCTCTATTATCAATTAACCACAAACAAAATAGGAAAAAAGAACAAAATGATCAAGAAATAAAATAGTGACAGATAGCATGATCGAAGTTCAAGAAGATGCTATGCATAAGATGGGCTTTGCAGGCTTGCCTAGCGCCTAACTTATCTAGACGTTGTTTAAGCACGCCTAGGCACTAGAAGTAAAATAGTAGTTTTTACTAAATAATGAATGAACTAGCAGCTTCGAGAATTTCAATGGTCAATTGATTAAATACCTTACATAACACTTAAAACAGGCCTAATAGGTCAAAATTATATACATAGAAGTACTATAGCTGAATAGCTCCCGAAGTTGTTAAACTATTGAAAATTTTGAGTGAGAAGATTGAATTCGCCGCCGTGTGCGCGATACCTAACTCACGAAAGAATTCCCAAGCGAAATTATTTGGTATTGTCTGGCGTCTAGACGTAAATTTAACCATGCCTTTTTGAATCGTGATATAGAAAATTTTGAGAAAACTGAAATGACTTCTACTGAGCTGCTATGTGTTTACCTCAAAGCCTCTAACATCGTTCAAGAGACGTCCAATGGTGGTTGTGAGCAAGAACAACCTTTGGTATTGCGGACCTCTGACAACATCGTCTTCTAGCTTGTGCCCAGCTGAGTATATGGCAGGGAGCAAGAATGCTGCAACTCCAAGTGTAATCGATGAAGTCTCCATGTATTCTTCCAGTGTCGGGACAGTGTTCGCTCTGCACCATTCTGCTTCCTGCAGCATTCCTTTTACAATATCCACCCACTACACAGTAACAAATGTGAAGATTTGATCAAGTAGCTAGTAATTGTAAACTTTCTCCCAATAATTCGAGTTATTGGGACCAACTGGTTTATGACATGGTATCAGAACTGGTTTGACCAAGTGGTCGTGTACGTGTTCAAATCTCCACGACCCTCAATATTAACAATTGATAAAAGCACAAGATATGGTGGGCATGTGCAAACGCTTCAAGCCCGTGAGTTGGATTTCGTTTGAGGTGGGCGTGTAAGAGAGTGGTATAAGATCCATAACAACCTTCTCCCAGCAACTCGAGTTATTGAGACCAACCGGTTTATGACAGTAATGTGTACAAGCAATGTCTCTGTTTGAATATATTGTTGATGGGTAAAAGTGTAAAGAGTAGTTATGTAATGGGGATTGACTTTTTCAACCACTTGAGTTATTGAGATCATTTGGTTTATGACTAGATTGGGCCATCGAGATTTGAACATAAGACCTCTCGATCAAAGCAGGCTTAGATATACCATGTGAAGATCAGTTATTGGAATCAACTTGGCTCTTGACAAGAGATCATGCATGGACCTCTACCAACAACTCGCGTTATTG